CTCAAGTGCCCGTGAAGAGCAGTCTTTTAGATGATCTTGAGTTTATTTGAATAGGGACTGAGTTTAAGGGAACATGTCAAGACAAGACTATGTGTTGATCTAAGCGATTTCATTTTTATCCTTGGCACAGGGCTAAGCTACATTTCTCAGCCCCCTTCCTATTACATTGGGGCCGTGTATGGCTGAATTCTGGCCAGCAGAATGTGGGTGGAAGTGACATATGCCACTTCCAAAAAAACGCCCCTCAAAATCTCCCAAGTATGATTTTCCTCTCTTATCCCCTCCTGCAAAGACCTTAGAGGCCACGTGTTGAAGATGGTGACAGCATACAGACGACAGAAAAATATCCGTGTCCCTGAATGACTGTGTTAAGCGCAACAATACACTTCATGTTGAGTATGAGGTTGGGAAGGGTTGTTGGTTAAGGCAGCTGGCATTGCTTATTCTAACTAATAGTGTCTGATTTACTCAAAGGTTCCCATACCAAAAAGCCTCAGCTGGTTCTTTGTGTATCCCACGGTGAATCTGCCTTTGACCAGCACGGCTGACAGAGAGGCAGGAGTCCTCTGTCGCTCAAAGCACCCAATCTAGCATTCGGCACAGAGCGGGGCTTACCTGGGCACGGTTTCATGTGCATTTACAGAGTAAACAAAACCAGACAAAAGCCCCATGATTTTAACTGGCGGAAGCTTAAGCGAGGCCCACTTTGGCGGCTGACATAGACCATCCACTGGCCTCTGCCCTCTACCCCCCAAATAAGCACTTTTGAGTGACCTAGAGCGTCTGTACCTGCCTCCCCATGAAAGAAAAGCCAGGGCTGGGGACCGCCCTTCAGAACAGAGGCTGCTGTGTGGAGGAAACGGTGCTTCCAGCACTGTTGTTTCCCTTCCGCTGACGCTAATTACAGTTTGCTAAACGTAAACCAGGGAAACATCTCCCCGACCCCCAAGAGCTCCAGAAATGGGCCTGTTGCCTTCGAGGAAACGTGGGAGCAGAAAACTGTTCTTCCTTCTAAACCGTTTTATCTTTGACTTTCTCCCCATACACGGGTGAACGCAGAGAGGTGTGTTCATAGGAGAGGGGAGTGTGAAACTGTCCATCGCCCCCACCGCAGGGCCTTTCCCTTTTGGTTGTTTGCTCTGTTGCAAAGCAAGAGCACGAGGCAGATGCGTGTGGAAGACACGGCCTGGCCGGTGGGGTTTAATTACACGCGCGTGCAGTGCAGGGGATGGCAGGCTGAGGATGCAATTACACAACTAATTATATTGAAACAACAAACTGCAGCTTCCTTGAAGGGCCTCCGCCCACGGGGCCACCGTGTTTTCATTTTGCCACAGGACCTTGCCTTTCTTCCGTGTTGGTATCACTTGTGGAATTTACTTCCATGAGCCTCCTTTCTTCTCCCCTCAGGACGTCATCAAATCACCACTCCACTGCAGCCTTCCCTGGGGCCCTAGGACCCCTTCCCCGGCTGACTGAATTCCTCCTTCCTCTGTGTTATCCCGGAGCATGGGGCTTCTATGCCATTACTTTCTGTGTCAGGGCCTCAGTTATTCGATCTGGAAAGCCAGACCGATAGGCCTCTACGGGTCTTCTCCAGCTTCAAAACTCTATTTTTTTTAATTCTTAAGAATAATCAAACGGTTTCAAAATAATATAGTATTAGACAGATTGAGGCTTTGGCACCAGAAGAGGCGTCTGAACATGACTCAGCAGCTTCTAGCTGAGTGACCTGGGCAGGAGGACTTGGCCTGTCTTTGGGCCATCTGTAAAATGGCCGTAGGGACGATATTACTTCACAAGACTGGAGAGTCATGTGAAAGTATTTATAAATAAGTAATGAAATACAGTGTTTGTACCAGTCATATTAATAAAAAGCTAAGTGAGTCCCTCTCTACTCGAAGGGACACTCTACCAGTGCTAGATTAAACATCGTAAAACCTAGATCTCAGGTTCTCAGAATCATGTCTAACAATCTCCACTGCTTAACTGTAGGGGAGAAAGAGCTCTCATTAACAATCCCCACGAATCTTCGCACTAACAGTCCCAACAGCTCTGGCAATCCTGTGCTGGCCACCTACCCTGTGTTAAACACGTGCCTGGCATTTGCCACTAAAATAAAATGAATGAATTAGACAGGCTTATGGTCAAGTCTCTGATTTGCAAGTGAGTATTTATGTGATCTTGAGAAATTTGCTTCACTTTCTGAATCTTGGCTTCCCGGTCTATAAATCATCTGTAATAGGGCCTACTATAAAAATTTCTTATGAAGGGGTGCCTGGGTGGCTCAGCCTGTTGAGCTTCGGGCTCTCAGTTTCAGCTCAGGTCATGATCTCTGGGTCATGGGATGGAGCCCTGTATTGGAGTCCAGGCTCAGCTGGGGGTCTGCTTAAACTTCTCTTCCTGTGCCCCTCTTCAGCTCACACCCACTGACTCTCTCTCTCTCTCTCTCTCTCTCTCTCTCTCAAATAAATAAAACTTTTAAAAAATTGTGAAAATTAAAATGTGGCAACCCCCTTAAATCTTGCAGACCCAATCCCTGACACAAAGTAGCTGCTCAACAAAAACCAGCTCCTTTCTACTTTCCTTTCCCTTTGAGCACCAAGATTCTAGAATTCCACAGTATAAAACATTCATACTAATAGGATGTGTGGTAGATGATGGGTGTCCTCTAGAGGAGTGATGTCACAGGAAGATCCTAGCAGAATCTCTATTCCAGCATCACAGTTGGGCCCCGTGCATGAGCCTTTCGCCCACAGTGTTCACCACCACAAAATTTTACCATGAGCATTTAATTTTTTTAATAAAAAGATTATTCTGAATGATGCATGTGATAAATATGCTGGCTTTAAACCTTTTAGAAATATTAAAGGTTTTACAGCTCAATGTTTGACAGACCTGATTAATCCCTTCCACACAGAAATATTCAGGAGGGGAGCTGTAGTTGGGTTTTAAAGCTCCAAGAGTGTTCTTTGATAAAGGTAAAGAAAAGGTAAAGAGCTTTGAAAAAGCGAGATCCTCGAGCCACGCAGAACAGACAAAGAATGCAAAGACCCAGAAGGCTGCATGGTGTGGTGGGAGGCTGGGAGCTGGGTTGTGGGGGGTGGGGCACAAGGCAGGGAGAAGAGTGCTTTAAAATCTCGTTAGAGCATTTTTCAAATGAAAGGCACAATCCAGCTGGACCACAGGACATTAGTCTCAGAGTTCTCTTCTCTGCTGGGTTCTAAAACGCACACACATCTGATGTGTCTGGGGTAGGGAGGTAGTGGGGTGGGACAGTCCAAGGGCAGTACAAACTTCAGAAAGGAATCAAGTGGAATGTACCATCACCTCTTCACGAGTCCTGGACTCTTCAGTAGCCTCCTACTAGCTCTTTTGGTCACCAGGGCTATTTCCTACACTGACCTCTCCAATCCCCACCTGGATTTTGAGCTTCTCTAAAGAATAGGAAATATTTTGGTCTTTGGTTTTGGGTGACTTTTTCCCCTTAGCACTCACCCTAGCTTTTGTATAAAATAGGTATCTAGTAAGCATTTGTTAAATGGATACAGTTGGTGTTTAATAAATCCTTCATGAAATGGCCTAATGACACGAGTGGTATAAAAAGCCCTACTTAAGAACACTGTTTCAAAAATTACGAACAGGCTTCACCTCCTTCTGGTTCTCATTCTACAACAGAAAATTGAGTTTAGGGGTGAAACCACTGAGACTTCCAAATAACACCTCATTCCACAAATCCTTAATGAGCACTATTCCATGCTAGGTGAGTTGGGACATGGTAGCCACGTTGCTGGTAAAGGAGACGTGTCATCATTGTGGGAGGTGCCATGATTGAAGCATGTATGGAAAAGTGTGCAGCACAAAGGAAGATACACCAAACCCAGCATTTTTGTTCATGGCGGCAGAGGAAGGAGGGGTGTGATTTAAAAAAAAAAAGCTTTGAGGATGGGTAATAAACTCTAAGCTGAATGCTGAAGGATAATGCCAAGGGAGACTGGGCACGCGTACTTCCCCCATATCATACATACAGTCGTGACCTATGACCTTCCATTTAAACTCCAGATGGAACGGCTTGCTCTGCGAATCAACCTCCCACACAAAAATCTCAAAGTGTCCGCCCACTCTGCTTGGTGGTTTTCTTTGACACCCAAGTCAACGTCCAACCCCAACCCCTACTGTTTTTATGAGAGCATTTTCCCAACACACGATGCCAACATATTTGCCATAAGATATTATGGGGGCAAAAGTGTAATTCAATTATGTGACTTAATCAATTCAAATGGTTAATGTACAAGGATCTCAGGATGCCATCCAGCTTTCAACTGAGGGAGAATAATTGTTCCATAATTTCTTAATTCTCCCACAAGACAGTTTAAATTAAAGGATGTCAATTTGCAAAGCCAGACTGCATTGTATTCTTAAATTGGGCCTGAAATAGCCACAAGATGAGGGTAATAAGGCAGAGAGAGCAGCGCCCAGAGTGCCTGGTGCTGTGCAAAATTGTTTAATACGGTCAGACCCTTTAATCTTCATATCTACTGATGCAGAAAGCAGCATATTTCTGTCACTTATGATAAGAAACATTACTTTTTAAATTCCTTGGTAAAGCCTGCAGATCTTAGGCAGCCAAGATAGCAGGAATCTCTATTTCTGTGTCTGTGAACATTTCTTTTTTCCCTTAAATTGGTTTTATTCTAATCCATTTAGTCTCCATTCTGAGTCAGAGACAAGTAGCCCTGAATGGAACCACACGGGAGGAGAACAAAGGCATGTGCCTTTCAGTTCCCAGATTCTACTGGCAACCACCTCCTTGGACAAGTCCGTGATTAAACGAATAACGAACGTGCGAGTGTGAACTGCGGGCAGGCAGCTGGTTCCAGAAAGGGGGAGAATTGGAACAGCATTTGAGAGAAACAAAAACATGCTCCCGAGAAGAGGATGCCGTGTGAGGAGGAGATGATTTGAAGTATTTTCATCAAAGAATCCAGCATTGTACTCACATGTGTCCGAGAAAGTGGTTTGGTCAACTGGGTGGGGGTGACGCTGAGAGAAAGGAGGCTCGGGGGGTCTGGACTGAAGAAAAGGGACAGTGTTTCCCCCAAGACTGCCAGGGCCACGAATCAGGAATCGTCATCGAGAAAAGCCGAGGACATAGCTGCAGGGAAAGAAGTCTCTGTCACTTTGAAAGCAAACCAAGGAAGGAGAAAGGGGGATGCAATACAAAGTGAATCCTCACAGTGGGGTTTGGAGTGAGCAGGTCAGCAGGAAGCATCATTCTAGTGGGTGTGGTGCATGGAGGTGGGCCTGGGGCATGGAGACCCCAAGGAACCGAGCCAATCAACAAAATAGAATTTTCAGGGTCTCTGTGCCTAACATTGTTCCAGACTACGTGGAGGGTACAAAGAATAACATTCATCATCAGTCTGTACTTTAAAAACCTGGACTGAGTTATCCATACACAGGCTAAAATTCAAAAGGTACACATGGCATGAATCTATCTGTAGGACAAATACCAAGAATGGAATTATTGGGTATAGAAAATATTTTTAATTTTGATCAATATTGTCAAATTACCATCCAGGAAGGCTGTAGAATTTTACAGTCTCTTTAGCAGTTTATGAAGAAACACCTTTCCCTTGCCCTCACCAACACAGCCTGTCTCGGTTCTTTATTTAAAGAGACGTGAGATATAAGGCCTAATAATGACAATAATGATGCTAATATTAACGAATGAGCATAGCACTTTAAGTACAGTTTTTAGTCTTTATATATATTAATCCATTATTCCTAGCAGTAACCCACTGATATAGGTACTGTTATTATTGCCACTAAACATAGATGGAAACAAAAACATGGAGAACTCAAGAAACTTGTTGGTGACCACAGTTATGCAGGGTGGAGCTGAGGTTCTGGGTTGGCACCCACTTCAAGGCCCTAACTCTTGACCATTAGCTCTTATTCCAGAGGTGGGATATAACCTAGGGTATGTGTTATATCAGGAACACGCAAATAGGAAACCTGAGGGTGCATATGGGCATGGGGACTCAGAGACGCCAGTTTTTTCTGTCTTAATGGAGTTAGACATGGACTATAACTGGGAAAATATTGGGCTTTAAGTGTTGATCTGCAGACCTCTATGAAGAACAGGTTGACTTTTTCTTACTTTTCTTTCCCAGCACTCTCACTAGAAAAACATCATTCCATAAATATTCATCATGTATTAGAAAAGGTCAAAGCTGCAAAATTTAAAGGTCCAAAAAGCATGGTACTTTAAGTAACACAGACACAGTTCTAGTCCAAGTTATGACACTGGTTAGCTTATACAAGCTATGTATAGCTTATACAAGCGATATATGACACTGGTTAGGTTATACAAGATATAGGACTTCTCTGAACCTCAATTTTCTTCAAATGGAAAAAAATGAGCCTATGACCCTAGGAAAATTTTTATGGTGACTAAATAAAACAAAACAAACAAACAAAAAACCTAATGCCAAACACTCAACAAATATCATTGTTTGTAGATAACTTGTACCTATCTGTTAAATCTTACTTTCCCTGCTTCTCTTTGCAGGCCTTCTGGTTTCATCAAATTAGTTTACTTTTCTCAAATATGATGGAATTTTCCAGTCTGCTTGCATTTCTGTGTTCTATTCTCTCTTGCTAAAATACTCACCTTGTCCCCAGGTCCTACCTGTAGGAATTCTACCATTAAGCCAGACAGATCTATATCAAATGCCACCAACTCCACGAAGTGTTTCTTGACCAATGTCTTCTGCAGTACACTATCCCTAAGGGGTTTAAATTTCTAAATACTCTTGGGATTCCCAAGTATTATTGGGAATTATGCCTAAGACACTAATCATCATAATACCAACAGTTAACAAATGCTTTAGTATGTACCAGACACTGTTCTAAGCATTTCATATATTTCATATCTCACTTAATCCTCTTCACACATGATAGGGACCAAGACCATCCCCACTTAGACACAGTCCTGAATGCCAGTCATTATTAGCACATCTGGTCTACACAGAGGGACTGAGGTCTCTAAAGGGCAAAGAGACGACAAGCATAATATTTGAACTTGTTGGCTTTGGAGGGAAAACACCTGTATTCTAGGCTTGGTCCTGATGGAGTTACCAATTCTCTCCAAATTATAATTTCTAAAAGGGGATGGGGATAATACCAACTTCAAGGCTTACTTTAGTTTGCAGATCTAACCATTTGGAACAGTGCGTGGCAAATGGTGAGCACCTGAATGCCAGCTTCTATTATTCTCATTTAAATAGCATATAGTAGGTTCCAAAGGCTTGCTTCCCCACTTTGCATTCACTACTCCCTCTGCTTGTACTGCCTTTTCCCATCCACACTCACTACCCCCACTGTCAACTTGAAGAACTCAATGCCTAGCTCTGCAGGAACCAGGACTAGCATCTCCTGTTCTGCAAAATCTTCCTGGAAGGCCTCCTGTCCAGGGAAAGCTCCCTCCTTCACACCCTCTATTACCTTGGACCCAATTTGCTTATACCCCTCATCTTAAGGCCTGGAGACTCCTGCTGAGAACTAGGACGTCTAGGAAGATGGGGACTTTATTTTAATTATTTGTAATCCCTACCACTTAGCACACTATTTGTATAAGCAGGGTATGCTCTAAGTGATTTAAAAGATGAATTAAAAATAAATACCTGAATGCTAAGAGGAAAAGTTACCAATTCTTAACTCACTACTACATAATTCACTGGAAAGTCATTCAATATCCCAATCAATGCATAAAAAAGAAACTCGACTAAAACTAAATGTTTTATAAAAATAGATGAGAGGGTTCTGTAAGGAACCCACTGCATTCCTATCAGCCCCATATTCACTCAGCACACTGCGAGGCTATTGATGTTTTAGTGACAGACACTGCAAAATGATAGACTCACCAGCAATTCATGAACTGAAGACATTAACACACATGCTGTTAGGCTGCTCAGATATAAACAGAGTATTATGGGAGGAAAATAATAATTAACTTGTAAGGAGAGGGGCAAATAAACATTCTGTTCAAGGGGGAAAAAAAATCCAACTGAATATAATCTCCTTCCATTACATTATGAGCATTAAAATTAATGGTGTTCGTTTTTCTGTGGTTTGGGTAGCCATTGTATTTAAAAAGCTGAAGTTAACTTCACAGGGGAAAAAATAAAAAATAAATTAGATGCGGCCGTGTCTCAGGAAACTTCATTTTCTGAGTGAATAGCCAAGTGGATGCACATCGCCAGCATGTCTGACAACCAGTTTTCCATACTGGTGTGTTCTAAATGGGAAAGGAAACCAACTCTTAATTTAAATTATATTGCAAATCACTTCTTGCCTGCTGAATGGCATTCAGCTGCAGTAGGTGGCTTTCACATAGGGCCTCAAATGCAACATTGCCTGATTAATGCTAATTCGAAATGTTTTGTTGGAGGGGGGATGGGCACTCAATCTCGGTGCATAGGAGGTGAGGCAATTCTACGGTGGGTGACTGACTCAAAGGCCAACGGCATATCTGCCATCAGATAAAAATGTACATTCACAAACATACCAAGACAAGTCAATTATTCTCTGAGTCACTATTCCCTGGGTCCCTTTGTGTAAAGAAAACTATTTATACTCCCCATCAGATGGATACACAGAATCAGAGTAAACAAGCCCCTGATTCCACTACTCTATATTATATTTCCCACGGTACCTTCCATTGTGGAAGTCATTAGTTTTGGTCTTTTTGTTCTCGATTTATCAAAACAGACATTTTGCCAGTGAGCTCAGTTTTGCTCCCAGATGCAAAACAGCAGACAGAATTTCTGACCAACTGAAAAAAAGAAACAAAACATGCTTTGTAATCTTCTGGTGAGGGTGACTGGGAATTTGTTCTTCTCTACCTCAATGACTAATACATAAACTCTAAAACCAGAGCTCAAAAGCTTAGGATTTTTTCCCCCTTCCCCAGATTAAAAGTTCAAAGAGACAAACCAACCCATCCTTGTTTTTTGAATTACTCCCAATACAATGCACTCAAATCAGATAATCCAAAATGAGGAAATTGATCAGAACCAACACCTGAGAAAACAACAACAAATTAACAGGAGCCATCATCATATTTCACTTGTCAAATCAACAATACTCTGTAAAAAGAAAAGAATACTTCGTGCGCAAGGCTTCCGGGGACAGATTCTCCTACACAGGGAGACCCCTGTGCCTGGGCACCCATCACATGACAGCATGCTCCCTGCTTGCACAATATTCTCATTGATGAGGAGTTTGTGCTATAGAGATGGGAGCGTTTTTGTTTTTGTTTTTAACATGTTATTCATGTATTTGAGGGGGAGGGAGGGAGAAAGAAAGCAAGAGTAGGGGCAGGGGATAGAAGGCAGAGGGAGAGGGAGAAGCAGACTCCCCGCTGAGCAGGGAACCAGAAGCAAGGCTCCACCCCAAGACCCTGAGATCATGACCTGAGCTGAGGGCAGAGGTTTAACTGACTGAGCCACCCAGGCGCCCCTAGAGATGGGAGATTTGCTCAGATGGTCTGGCGTGGGATCCTAGCTCTAGCACTGTGACCGGATTACCCCAGGTACATTCCCTTCCTTTTATGACCCTGAGGTTTCTACTTGTAGCATTATCATGAGGATTTGAGGTAAACTACTTGCAGTATAGTTAGTGGCTGACATAAAGTAGACACTCCATAAATGAGGGCTATGATTATAAGCACTTGAGGTATCAGTATCAGTACATCTAATGGACTAATTTATATATGCATCAATAGCCAGTATGCCATAAGATCATGTTTTCTGTTGTGTGTAAGTCAATGTATTTCTATAGCTGAAAGCTAATTTCCACATTTGGTCTCTGACCTTTAAAATTACTGAATGTGCTGCTCTCAAGTGACTCAAAGGCCAACGGCATATCTGCCATCAGATAAAAATGTACTTCTATACTTGACACTGATTTGCAAAATTAGATGTCCGGAGGGCTAAAACATAATTTTCATGAACAAGACAACAGTGTAACAAGCCTGGGACTATCTCATTAAATCTGACCACAGCAAAGTCTTGGTGACTATCAAGGGACTAGCCCTCTGCTGCCACAGGACCTTCAGGCAGGGGAACCTTGAACAGGCTTCCCTGAAAA